GTCGAGCAGGGCGATGAGCGCGAGAGGGTACGCGATGCATGGTAGAGCACGGCGTGGCATGGCGTAGAAGAGCGCGGCAGAGGCAGTTCGGGTTTTTCACGCCCAAACAAATCAAAACACGTCAGAAATTGACCTTGGCCAGGGTAGCGTATCCATAGTGAAAATGAGTCCCCGACCCCATACACCAGACCCCAAATGTGAGTATTCATGTTTAGAGTGGGTCGGACACCCTATGCTCGGCAGTTGCGCCGAGCGAGCATTACTGCACGAAACTTGCTCCGACCGTTGCGCGCGCGAGGGTGCGGCTAGATTAATAAGAAGGCGATATCATGTGCGTTGGCACATCGTTCCAGAAGGCGTGTTGCATGTCGTTAGGGGACGTGCGGCGGAGGGGGATGTACTTCTGGAGGCCACCCAGAGCTTGACCAACAGAGAGTAATAGGAGGTAGTTGCTAGTCGCCACTCCTACGAATGCGGAAGTGTAACTTGGGAAGTGACATACGGAAGAGTAGGAGACGAGGAACGGGAGGCTCGGGGGTTCGCGGGGGGGGGGGGGCGATGAGGAAACTGGAGAGGATCAAGACATGTGGATGGGCTGAGACGCAGGATCAGGGCCATGTCGGAGGGCGCGCAATCAGCAAGTACTCAGCAGCACACGTCGCATGTCTAGCTCGGACGCATGAGAAACGCAACCGACGCTCATCACACATACAGGGCGCTGGCAATTGCACCAGCATGTAGCTCAATAGCACCGTAGTCAATACCACCGCCACCTTCGCAGCCCATGTTAGCTCCAACTCCCGTTGCAGAGAATTCAATGTTCGAAGTGGGGGTTCGAGAGTTGCGCCTAAATGGAGGGCGAGCCAGATGACGAAGGGGCTCACCTAGCGGCCCCGCCCTCTCAAGTTGCCGAGCTCCCTTTGGTGCCCGCGTCACCGACGGCAGGTGCCGATGGTATGGGTTGGGGTGACTTTGCGGCACCACCCGCTGCAACGGGGGAGCCGACTGCAGCACCCGACGTCGGAGACAGCAGGGTCGTCGTTGCAGCGCCAGGTCCCGGCGCCTGTTCTCGAGGCCCCACAGCAGGCGCGCGACTGGCTCCCGCCCACTCACTGGTGGGGGGAACCGATTGGACATGACAACTGTGCAGGACGTGTCCCGCCGCGCATTGGTTCCTGCCCTGGTGTCGGGCATCGTTGTGCCGAGGGCCTACGAGACAGCACGGGTTGCGGCATCACATCTCACGAAGAAGCGGCAGAGCACGGACCGACGCATGCTTACTTTCATTCGGCACGATACGAGAGGCGACATTCCACGCCGTGCCGCGTCACGAGTTGCGCTTGCTGAACAGCTTCAAACGGTGCTATCTCCAGCGGCACGGCGCCGCGCCCAGCGGCGCGATCCATTGCGGTTGGTCAGGCGTTTGTCCATGGCCCCAGATGCAGTTGTGGAGAAGCTTCAAGTATTCGAGGCGCCCGGGTACGATGAGGTCCCCACGGGGGGCGGCCATCAGCCACAACGACCAACACCTGCATCCGGGGGGCATTTTCTAGATTTTGGGGCCCATTTGGAAAGAAGGGCGACGCTGCAGCGGGGTCGCGATTCGGAACGAGCGGAAGCGCGGAAATGAGGCCAGCGCTGCAGCTGGAGCACGATTCGGAATGGGTCGTGACAAGACTGCGACACATGAGCAAGCGACAACCACCTCCATTCAGCTGGGTAGTCGAAGGCCAGACTGTCAGATTGGATTGGGCCCCACGGGCCAATCTGGCCTGGCCAAACTGGATGATTTGGGTTATTCGCCAGACTGGATTCGCGTTGGCTCCCTCGCCAGATTGCCCCCGTTTGCCAGATTGGGCCTGCCAGATTGGCGCCAGATTGGCTTCGACTACCCAGCCATTCATCATTCCGCCTCGGCCACTTCGAAGAGGAGAGTCACAAGGGCAGGAGGCGCGCCCCAGCCCAGCGTTCGAATGGGGCAAGCCTGGAGAGCGACCAGGGCGGCGAGATGAGTCAAGTGCGACAGCTGCGGGAGCGGGGTGCGACGGGGTGGCGCTCGGCTGCCACTTCCGCCACCCGCGCAGCCCCCGCGCTGGACACCACTGAGTCGGAAGCAGCAAGATGCAGGCCAGTCCCAACTACCCCTCACGAGTCATGATGATGTAACACCTCAACGAATGGTCGAGCAGGAGAGACTGAAGCTATGCATGCAAGAGCTTACGAACCCAGCCAGGCACTGCTAAGAGCGTTCTGCTCAGGCCTACGTCTGGAGAGGCAGGCCGTTGTCGAACATCACTGCATCGTCGGAGAAAGACACCTCTCCATGAAGGCTGCTGCAGCGGCTGAAGGTCGATGTGGGACCCTAGCACGCACATCTCTATGACAAAATCTAGAATGCCAAATAGGAAGCTCTCAACCTCACAACTAAGTAACTTCACACCATATTAGCCAGCGGATTCGGCCCCATCATTCTGACAAAAGGACGCTTCTGTCCAATCATCATAGCTGATTCTTTCAATGCCTGGCACGCACTCAACATCTGATATGAGAATCACAAGTGCTCATTCTCCTTTCAAATACTTTCCATTTGCTCTGGAGACATCGTAGGTCATAAACCTCCATCAGACCCTCCACCTCGCCCCTTCTCCTTGGGACAACTCTCGATGAAGCGTACCTGCTGGAACGCATCCCGAGGCGAGAAACTTCAGAGAAGCGACCAGAACGTTTTAAGTTTCGATCGATCTTCGATCCTATTCCTTCTCCTCCTCTGCCCCTTCCTCCTCCTCCTCCACCTCCTCCTGCGCATCCCTCTCCAGATCTCCCCCTCTCCTTTTTCCTCCTCTTCGACCCTCCTTCTCCTCCTCGATCCTCGTCCTCCTCCTCCTCCTCCTCCTGCTCGATCCTCCTCCTCCTCCTCCTCCTCCTCGATCGTCGTCCTCCTCTTCCTCGATCCTCCTCCTTCTCCTCCTCGGTCCCCCTCCTCCCTGATCCTCTTTGCTCCTCCTCCTTGCTCCCCCTCCTCCTCGATCCTCCTCCGCGACCGGAGCGGCCCCGCGTCGAGCCGGGGTATGCCGGCTGCTGGGGGCGCCGCGCGCGAGGTGCTGCCGGGCACCGTCATCTCCAAGCTGATCGCCGAGCGCGAGCGGTTCCGCGCGGGGCAGGCGCCGCTCCGTGGGGGGGGGGAAGGGCGGGGGAGGGAAGGGGGATGTGGGAGGGCAAGCTAGGTGAGCTAGCATCACATCGACGCCCTACTCCTCCCTCCCATCCCTTCTCATGGCGTGGATCTCCTATCTATTCGCACAGTCGGATGTCGAGCAGGGCAATGATCCCAAGATGGTACGCGATGGATGGGAAAGCATGGCGTAGAAGAGCACAGCAGAGAACAGCATATCATAGCATGGCGTGGCATTGCATAGTGAAACATTGCGTCACGAAGCGTAGCCACGCAAAGCACGGCATCGCACAGCGGTGCACAGCACAACATTGCATTGCATGCCGTGGCATGGCACAGGATGACTTGGAGGGTAAGTGGCCCATCTACGAGGACAGGGCCTGTCCAGAATGCCAGCTCCATGTCCTCCGCAACCGTGCTTGCCCGTTGTGGGCGCTTTCGAATGCCAATCGGAGGCGTGGGAACGAGGCCAGCGCTGCAGCGGGAGCACGATTTCGAATGACCGAAGCGCTGAAATGAGGGCGGCACTGTAGCGGGAGCATGATTGGATTGAAAAAGCACATCGGAAAAAAAACAAATCATGAAATCCTGTGTGTAAAAACCATACGCGGAGAGGACGGGACACTCTCCGGACAGAGTCAGGGGAGAGGAGAGTAGTATTCATATTGTGTAATTGTGGAGGGGTGTGGGAGGGGGAGTGGGACGGGGAGGGGGAGGGGGAGGAGACGGTTCAATGAGGAGGAGGAGGAGGAGAAGGAGGAGGAGGAAGAGGAGGGAGGAGGATGTGGAGGAGGAGGAGGAGGAGGAGGAGGAAGAGGAGGAAGGAGGAAGGAGGACAGAGGAAAGAGGAAAGAGGAAAGAGGAGTGAGGAGTGAGGAGAGGAGGAGGAGGAGGAGGAGGAGGAGGAGGAGGAGGAGGAGGAGGAGGAGGAGCAGGAGGAGGCTCGAGGAGGCGGATAAGGCTCGAGGAGGAGGAGGAAGAGCAGGAGGAGGAGGAGCAGGGGGATAACCAGAACCAGTGTTAAGCCCAAGACTCATCAACGACGTAGCAATGATCACTCCCTCCACGCTCTTCTTCACAGGCCCCTACAAGGATTCATTTTCACTGAAGGAAGTGGCCCGTTGAAAAACACCTGTTCGAGAATTTTGCTGGGATTCCAACGTTGCGAATCACCGTCACTGTTGCGTCTTGACGATCCTGAATCGTGCCCGAACACCCTTCCTGGGACTTCAACCCCACGAATCAACGTGACTGCTGCGCGCTGACGGTCTGATATCGTGACAGAAAAGAGTTCCTGGGACGTTCACCATGAGAATCCTTGACACTCTTGTGAGTTCTTGAAACGGATGTGCACGGCGCTAGGGCGAGAGCCACATGAAAACGACCTGCCCTCCATCCATGAAGCTGTTGCAATTTGTATGGCGGATGTGCGCGGCGCTGAGGCGAGAGCCACATGTTGAAAACGACGTAGTCTCAATCCGTGAGTCTCTTGCAATATTTAAGAGGGATGCGCGCGACGCTAAGGCGAACCACATTTTGAAATTCACCCGTCCTCAAACCGTGAAGCCTTTGCAAATGTTAAGACGGATGTGCGCGGCGCTACGGCGAGAGCCACACTTTTGAAACGGCCCGCCCTCCATCCGTGAGTGTTGCAAAGTTTCAGCTTCAGGATCCTAAGCGATGAAGTAGTCTCAGGCGAACCGCCCCGCCTGCCCTTGCGACTGGCCCCAGGGCGCGGCAGGGAGGAGGTACTCATGAGTGAGGAGGAGTCAGGAGGAGGAGGAGGAGGAGGAGGAGGAGGAGGAGGAGGAGGAGGAGGAGGAGGAGGGAGGAGGAGGAGGAGGAGAGGAGGAGGAGGAGGAGGAGGAGGAGGAGGAGGAGGAGGAGAGGAGGAAGTGAGGGGGGAGCGAGGAGGAGTGAGGAGGAGGTGAGCAGGAGCGAGGAGGAGTGAGGAGGAGGTGGAGGTGGAGATGGAGGTGGGAGGAGGTGGTGAGGTGAAGGAGGAGGAGGAGGAGGAGGAGGAGGAGGAGGAGGAGGAGGAGAGGAGGAGAGGAGGAGGAGGAGTGAGGAGTGATGAGGAGTGATGAGGAGTGGCGAGGAGGAGTGAGGAGGGAGTGACGAGGAGGATGAGGAGGAGGAGGAGGAGGGATGGAGGAGGAGGAGACGGAACATGATTGAGGAGGAGCGACGGGCGGAGTGAGGAGGAGGAGGAGGAGGAGGAGGAGGAGGAGGGGAAGGAGGAGGACGGAGGAGAGGAGACTGATGATGGGGAGGCGGAGGAGGAGTCGGAGTCGGAGTCCGGAGTCGGAGTCGGGAGTCGGAGTCGAGTCGGAGAGGAGGAGGAGGAGGAGAGAGGAGGAGGAGGAGGAGGGAGGGGGAGGAGTGAGGGAGGAGGATGGGGAGGAGTGAGGAGGTGGAGGTGGATGTGGAGGTGGAGGTGGTGGAGGTGATTACGGTGAAGGAGGAAGAAGATGAGGTGGAGGAGGAGGAGTACGAATACTAGTAATAATACGTATAGCAATACTAATAGTACGACGAGGAGGATGAGGAGGAGGACGAGGAGCGAGGAGGCGTGAGGTGGATTGAGGATGAGTGTGAGGAGTGGGGAGTGAGACAGAGGAGAGGAGGAGGAGGAGTGAGGAGGAGGAGAGAGATGCGTGAAGGAGAGGAGGAGAGGAGGAGGAGGAGAGGAGGAGGAGGAGCAGGAGGAGGCGGAGGAGGAGGAGGAGGAGGAGGAGGATGAGGAGGAGGAGGAGGAGGATGAGGAGGAACAGCAGGGGGAGGAGACGGAGGAGGAGAAGGATGGGGGAGGAGGATCAGGAGGCGGAGGGAGGAGGAGGAGGAGGACGGAGGAGGAGTGAGGATGTGTGAGGAGGTGGAAATGGAGGCGGCGGAGGTGGTTACGGTGAAGGATGCTGATGCTGATGATGATGATGATGACGATGATGATGATGAAGATGATGATGATGATGCTGATGATGATGATGCCGATTCTGATGCTGATGATGATGATGATGATGATGCTGATGATGCTGCTGCTGATGATGATGATGCTGATGCTGATGATGATGGTGCTGATAATGATGATGCTGATGATGATGCTGATGATGATGATGCTGATGATGATGATGCTGACGATGATGATGTATGATGATGATGATGCTGGTGGTGGTGATGCTGATGATGGTGATGATGATGATGATGGTGATGATGATGATGATGATGATGATGCTGATGCTGATGCTGATGATGATGATGTTGATGCTGATGATGCTGATGATGCTGATGCTGATGATGATGTTGATGATGCTGATGCTGATGCTGATGATGATGCTGATGATGCTGATGATGATGATGATGCTGATGATGATAATGATGCTGATGATGATGATGGTGGTGATGATGATGATGACGATGATGATGATGATGATGATGATGATGATGATGATGATGATGATGATGATGATGATGATGATGATGATGATGATGATGATGATGATGACGATGATGATGATGATGCTGATGATATGTGCATGAATGATGGATGCCTTGGATGATGATGGATCGATGATGATGATGATGATGATGATGATGATTATGATGATGTATGAATGATGAGATGCTGATTATGATGATGATGATGAAATGATGATGATGATGATGATGATGAGGGGGAGGATGAGGAGGAGGAGGAGGAGGAGGAGGAGGAGGAGGAGGAGGAGGAGTAGGATGAGGATGTGGAGTGAGGCGAGACGAGTGAGGAGGGAGGAGGAGTGAGGCGGGGGATGAGGAGTGTAGAGGACGCGGAGACGGAGAGGCGGAGGCGGAGGAGAGAGGCATGAGGAGGCGGAGGATGCGGGGAGGATGTTGGAGGTGGAGGTGGAGGTGTATTTGGAGAGCGAAGAGGAGTATGAGAGGAGGAGGAGAGCGCGAATAGGAGTGAGGAGGAGTGAGGAAGCTTGATTAGGAGTGAGGAGGCGTGAGGATGACTGAGGCAGTGTGAGGAGGAGTGAGGAGGCGTGCAGAGGAGTGATGAGGAGTGAGGAGGAGAGAGGAGGAGTGAGGATGAGGATGAGGATGAGGATGAGGATGAGGATGAGGACGAGGACGAGGATGAGAATGAAGTGAGGAGGAGGAGGAGGAGGAGAGGAGGAGGAGGAGGAGAGGAGGAAGGAGAGGTAGTGAGGAGGGGAGAAGGAGGCGGAGGAGGAGGAGGAGGAGGAGGAGGAGGAGGAGGAGGAGGAGGAGGAGTGCAGGAGGCCGTGAGGAGGAGGGGGAGAGGAGGAGGAGGAGGAGGAGGAGGAGGAGGAGGAGGAGAGAGGCAGGATGAGGAGGCGGAGGAGAGGAGGAGGAGAGGGGAGGAGGAGGAGGAGGAGGAGGAGGAGGGGAGGCGAGGCGGAGAGAGGAGGAGGCGAGGAGGCGGAGGGGGCAGGGGAGAGGAGCGGGGATGACAGGAGGGGGATGAGGGAGGAGGAGAGGAGGTCGAGGTAGCAGGATAAGAGGGGGAGCAGTGATGAAGGAGGAGCAGCAGGAGGAGGTGGACCACAAGGAGGAGGAGGAGGAGGAGGACAAGGAGGAGGAGGAGGAGGAGGAGGAGGAGGAGGAGGAGGAGGATGAAGAGGCGGAGGGCAACGTTCCACGACCTTTTCTGCCTTCAGGCCTCCAGGCTTTCAAGCTTTCAGGAGGACAAAGGAGGGAAGAGGAGGGACGAGGAGGGACGAGGAAGGAGGCGCCGGAGGAGGACGAAGAGGAGGAGTATGCAGGAGGAGGGAAGAGGAGGGACGACGAGGAGGAACGACGAGGAGGGAGGAGGGAGGAGGCAGGAAGAAGGCTTGCCCCCTGGCGCCCCGGAAATCTCGACCCCTTCCCCGAGACTGGTTTCCATCCTGAGCGCCTTTTCAGCAGTCCTGGGGCTTGGCGAGGGCCCCCAGAAGCCGAAGATAGTGGACAGCCTCCCGTCGTGATTTTTCACGACCCGAGGCGTACCAT